GTTTGCTGTTCTCTGTGGTTTTCCTTCCTGCTGCCAGTTTCCAATGTTCTCTCCTCTCTTTGGAAAAGCTTAATTTGTTTATGATTCCTGTCTTATTCTGACAACTCCACTAACTCTGCCTATCTGTCCTGTTCAGTTTGTTACTTTTCTTTTAGAGAGACTATATACTACAGGAGCATTCAAACTGGAACGAGCTAGACAGGTACCAGGGAATAAAAGGCTAACTCCCAGCACCACCTAGCTCTGTGCCTCTGCTCACGAGTGCAGGAGGAGTAAGCATTTCAGCATTACAATCTCTTCATGCACCTGGTACTTCCCATTCCAAATTCTGATCCCCTCAGATGTACTAATCCAGCCCTAGGGATGTGAGGGAATGAGGAGACAAGTGGACGCTCAGGAACCAAGGAATACAACTATGTTTCAGAGGAGTCTGGTACACTGCCCCTCGAACACTATCTGCCGCTTTCGGCTGGCAAGAGCTAGCTGCAACTTTCTGGCCTGCCCCACAATGTAGTATCAAAACAGTGTTCTAGCCCACAGTAATGAAAAAAGAAAAACAGGGTAACTTAGAACTTCCTTTCTACCCCAATTCCCATCTGTGAAATTCTAGTTTGGTCTGCTTTTTCCTCCCTACACTGAGAACCTAAGCATGCCCGAAGGCACCCAGCAATTTCTCACAATACTTGTTAGTCTGACGTGTTCGGCCACACCCTTGGCTTTGACAATGTCACTTCCAGGAAAAAAGAAACCACATCATGAGCTAATCAGATGCTTAAGCCTCAAATCCAAGAACCATCCTTTTTCTCCCATATCCACTGCATTACCAAGTCATTTTTTTTCCAAAATCTACTCCCAATATATTCATTCCTCTCTAGTTCACAGCTACCACCCCAAAGTGAGCCACCATCGTCTTCCTCCTGGGCCACTGTCCATCTGCTGTATCTACGCTTGCCTTTCCACCTGCAACACAGGGTGACGGGGAAACCACAGCCTGGGACGTACTACTGCTCCGCAGTCCAAATACTGGCCACCTCAGACTTCCTAAACCTTCTCAATGAACGGAAAAGAAAATCCCAATGTGCAACTTGTAAAGCTGTATACTACCTGGCTCTTGACTGCTTCTCCAATCTTAATTTATTTCTCTTTCTCCCTCAACTTCTCTCCAGCCATACCAGCTTAATCCTTTTCCTCACAGACACAACGTAGTTCTCATCTCAAAGTGTTATTTTCTTGACACCCCAACCTACTCCCTGTACAAAACACTTCTTTGGCTCTCAACCAGTTTTCAAGATCGGCTTCCCACTGTCACTTACCATATTGTATCAGCCTGTTTTATTTCCTTCACAGAGCTCATCACAATCTGATAGCAGGCAATAAGGAGGCAGTCTCCCTAACGAAGGGCGTCAGCACTGAGAGTCAAAGTTGGTGTCCCTTCCTGCCTGCAGCCATCCACACACTGCACCTGCACAAAGGTGACACAAGACTGCAGGCAGAGACAGCAAATCTAAGATTGAAGACTAAAATGCCTATCAGGACTGACTACAAAAATGTGGCCCCTGACATACAGTGCACATTTATCTAATATGTTTACGATTAAATACAAAGACTGAAAAACCAAATATTTCTTCTATCAGCCATATTAATATACAAAACTCATTTTTTTTTCTTTTTTTTTTGAGACAGGGTCTATATAATTCAGGCTGGCCTTGAACTCACTACATAGCCCAGACTGGCCTCAAACTCAGAGGTCCTCCTGCCTCAGCAGGTGCTGGGATTACAGGCATGCACTACCATGCCTGGCACAAGGCTCATTTCTAAAAGTTTCATTTGTTCTTTCTTATCTTTTCTGTTGAGGGGTAATTCTACATAGTGTTATATCCCACTTTCAGTAATACATATCACCTGGATAACCAAACACCACAACTCAGACCCTAAGGATATCAACCAATCTCTTTTTGCAACAAGAGTCTATTGTCAATATAGCATTCTATTAACAAAGTGAAAGTGAAACATCAAATACATCAGAACAGCACTGATGACCTTTGGTCTAGTACTGTGGTTGATGCTATCAGCAGCTGATTACAAAGACTAAAAATTAAAATTAAATAAGGTATTCTGGTACTACTAATAACTGTTAAACTATAAATGCTGAAACAATTTTGTTGTTAGTTTAAAAAAATAAACAGGTAGAACTTCAAAGTTTAAGAATGGTAGGTTGAACACAAGCATTTGCTTTAATTCCTCAGGAAACTCCATGAACACACCAAAGGGATGTCTAAAACCAGTTACCCATTAGAACAAGGACAACAGAAGAAACAAGAGCATCAAAATTTTGAAAGCTAGAGAGCAGATCAATAGTAACTAGCTGCTGGTCCAAGAAGCTAAACTCCAACAGGGAAGCAATCAGAAGTATCTTTCTAGAAGGGTGATTGCAAGCTGACTATGCTGAAGAACAGGGAATTAAGAAAATGTTTCTGTACTAAGTGTTGGATCCTTCTCCTTAACCTATAACCTGATCCTAGCCCTCTTCCAACATTCAACTCTTACGTAGGTCTACAGCTGCCAGGGTAAGTGTTTCAAGATTCTTTGGGAAATCTGAACTTGAGAGGAAAAAAAGAAAAAAGCGAAGATCAAAGACATTGACGTAAGAGCAGGGATGGGTTTCCTAATGAAGCACCAATGGTCAGCAAGCCTATCCATGCTAAGGGACCCTTCTGATCGTATTCCCTTCTGTAGTGCCACCATACAGGGGATCATCCTGATAAAAATACTGTTTCACCTGTTGTCCTAAGCTTTTCTTTTAATCTGTCAACATTCATATTTACCTTTTTCTAATGTTTTAAAACATGGAAATTTATTTCACACAACCATAATTTACCATTTCAAAGTGTACCACTCAGTAGTTTTGAGTACTACTGGTTTACTCACTGTTATGCAATCATTACCACTACTTAATTCTAGAACATTTGTATCACCCCCAAAAGAAACCCAATACCTACTACCAGTTAGTCTCAATTTCCCCTCCACTCACTCCCCGATTTACCATTCATCTGCTTTCAGTCTATATGGATCTGCCTATTCTGGACAATACATATGGGTGAAATTATGTAGCATGTGGCCTCCTGTACCCAACTTCTTTCATTAACACAGTATATCCAGGATTTATCAAAGGACATTAAAACTCAAGTCCTTTTACTGGTTAAGTAATATTCCATTACATGGATATATTATTTTTGCTTCTTCATTTATAAGGTAATGGACTTTTTTTTTTGTTTTCATGTTTCTGGTTATGATAAATTACGCTCTAAATTACTTTCCAGTCTCTTGTTCTTAAATGTGAGTAGATTACCAGAAATCAGCTCGTTTGAAAACAGGAATTAACACAAACTACTAGACATTAAAATAAACAGGAAACAAACTCAATGAGGCAGTAAGAGCTATAAAACATAAGGAAAACTTTCAAGTACCTCCTAAGGTTATCTTTAATAAAACTTCAGCTAATAAAACACATTGTATACATGAAACACAATGTGTTTTTTTTGTTTTTGTTTTTGTCTTTTTAGACACAGGGTCTCGTTTGTGGCCCAGGCTGGTCTTGAACTCGCAACAATCCTCCTGCCTCAGCCTCCCAAGTGCTGGGATTACAGGCATGCACCACCAAGCCCAGCTTCACAATGTGTTTTTAAGTGGCTGAAATATGGGGATAAGCCAAGAGAAAAGATGCAATATCAAGTGCATTTTAAAGATCCCCTGACTCAAACATCATAACTTGCCACCTTGCACGTAATCAACAACGCACCTGATAAGCTTCTGTAAGGAGATCTGCTCTTATGCAGTCACTTCTTTTCCTCCAGCACACCTACCTTCTCATTACTGCTACGGCTGACTTCTATTCCTGCCAGCCTGTGTGAGTATCAGCTCAAGACAGACTGATCTCCCATTCAAAGTACTCCGTCCCCTTCACTGGAGGTCACATTAGAACCCCTACAACAATCTGAAAGGTTACTTTCACAGGGCAAGACTCCATCAGCCTTATTCACCTCTTTACCCCTTTAAGCCTGCAGCAGCATTTAGTACGTGTTGGGAAATTAAGTATCTAGGTAAATAAATGAATTCACAAATATCTCCCTCCTCAATAATCTTGGTTTCATTTACAAAAATGTTACCACATACTGAGGTATTAATAGAAATTGAAAAAGCAAAAATTTACTCTCAATTTCTTACCTGCCTTGAAAATGCCAAAATCATCCTTTAAAACACAGGTGAACGCTCATACTAAAGTATTCATTCTCTTTCTGAGGTTCAATTTTTTTTTTTCTTTTTAAGATAGGGTCTCGCTGTGTTGCCCAGGTTGGCCTCAAACTCCTAGGCTCAAGTGATACTTTTCTCTCAGCCACCCAAGCTGCTGGGACTACAGGTACGTGCTACCACACCCGGCTCTGAGGTTGAAATTAAACAGGGAATTCTGTACTTTATTTGGCAACCCTAGTCAAAGAGTAAAGAGGAGAAAAACCAGAATGCAACATGTTGGGGTCAAAGAGACAGAACGAGAACTGCTATGAGTTAAGGGAGACGGGAAGACAGATGCATAAAGAAAAATCTATAACTTACAGTAATTATATAATTTACAGTTGTTCAACAAACTTACCTCTCAAGAAAACTATGGTAATTGTCTACATTACTTTTTTAAAATGCAGATGGGAGACTCTCCTCTGAGAAGTCTTCCTTTACCCGTGCATGGATCAACACCTCCTCCCTATGCTACCTCTGGACTAGGTACATTAGCACCCTGAACCAGGTCTGAAACTCCAGAGGGAAAAGGTTAAATTGTATCACTAGCATCTAGAACACCTGGCACAAACATGTGTTCAACACAAAATCTGAAAGTGACATCTAAAACAGGTCAGTTACTTTACCTACGCTCTATAATTATCATTCAACAGGAAAGAAAAGGAGCAACTTGAAAAGTCTGGAGAGCCAAACACATGAAGCATACTTACTGTTTCAAAAGTATTCAGTATTATCAAAGGCAAAAAAACATGAAAATACTCTCGACAATCTTGAAATCTGACAGGCACCGGTCTTGAGATGGACTGACAAAGACTTGCTGGAGGTCCACACTGATCGAAGTTTAAAAACATTTCATATTTCCATTTTAAGACTTCGTTAACAAAGGTGTCAGAGAGAGACTGTGAGAGGAGCATGTTCATTGGCGGGGAAGCAGAAAAGAATTTGCTTTCACTGGAGGGAAGTTTGTAAGCTTGCCTGAGAGACTGAGCAACACCGCAAGAACTGTTCACTTCACCCACCGGTTTCTGAGAGACCAAAGAAATGGGCTGTGGCACTTGCAAAACGGACTGCACCCCATTTGATTTATTTTTTAGAGCTGATGGAAGTACTGAAGAACTTTCCAAAGACTTGGAAAGATGAGCGGTTCGTGAAGTACTACTTGAGCTGAAAATCTTAGTGGTGGAACGTCTCCTTGCAGAAGGAGGCAAGCCAGGTTTACGAAATACATCTTCATCAGCCGCTTTGGCTTCCAAGTGTCTTGAACAATATTCAGCTTGGTTTCTCAGGGTTTCCACACAGTCCTTGTACTTACACTTTGTGCCACTTTCTCCCAACTGAGGCCAACTTACAGAACTTCCCACCTGCGCTGTATCTTCTCTATGAAGGACTTCAATGAGTCTATCACTCTCACCCATCTGTGAACATAAATCCATATCTTCAGGATCACGCTGTGTTAAAAATAAATTATCATCATCGTCACTATTAGATTCCACTTCTGCCTCTTTCAGAGTTGCCACTGCTACCTGATGCCCTGTTGGATCACCTCTACTTAAAGGGTCCTCTGAAGTAGAGACAGTCATTTCATCTGTTGGTATTATTCCACTTAACACTCTGGAATCACACTGGTTCAAAAAACCAGTATTGTCAGTCATCTCAGAAACGTACTCCGCTTTTAGGGCTTCTGGTTCTGAAGACATGAATTTTACCAGCTCCTTTTCGTTGCTGTTAGTGAGAACCTTGGGTCCTATGGAACTGTAATCTAACCTATCAAATTCTGGTACAACTATGTCAGAATTCAGTGTTCCGTCTGGCCCCGCTCTTGTAGCATTTCGGCCTTCACAACCATGGGGTTCTTTTCTTTTTTTGTGTGATTTCTGTCTCATCTGCCTTTGCAACTGAAGATCCTGATTTGCCAGTGATTTCTTAGTATTTTTGGCAGAAGTCTGAGTCTTTTTTGAGGTATCGACTACCCCAACCGTTTTGCCATGATTCCGTAACTGAACAGTATAGTCTAGAGACCTCTGGGACAACTCAAACGCCCTCCGAGGAGCCTTTTTCAGCCCAAGTTTCTCGGCCACTGAAGTTGGTTCAGGACAGTGGCGAGATTTCTTCGGGGGCACTACAGCAGGAGTTGTTCTACAACTTAAGTAATGGGAACTTTTACTCTGCCCTTTTTTGCCATCTGAATGTGTTTTCTTAGGAGTTTTAGAAACTGGTACTCTCCTAACGGGTTTTGAAGGACGAGCCTTTGTAGGAGACTTCTTCAGTGGGACAGTAGTGGCTCTCCGCACACTTGAACTGAGAGTTGTGGTACTCATCTCAGTACTTTTTAAATCATTTTCAGTAAGCTCTCTCTCCTTAAAAATGTTAGCCTGGCTCTCATCTCTGACAGAAGATGAAGGCCTTGGAGGATCTTCAGTCCTAGGTTTTTCAACTCGCTTTCTCTTACGATTTTTTACTTCAATTTCACAAGACACCTTAACAGAAACACTCCTACGTGCTTCTACATGCTCCGTGTCCTCTGCTACTTGTTGAACCACCTCTTCAGATACATAACCTGTGCCATAACCCCAATTATCTGTGCTACCAGCTACATTAGTTACACGTGAATTTTTTTCCTCCTCTTGAACTGAATTCTTATTGTCTACTTTGTGGTCCAGCCAAACTGAAAACACTTCAGACTGACTTTCAAACTCAAAAACCTGAGAATCAGAATCCTCAAACAGAAAAGATGATGTCTTTTCTTCCTTTATGAGCTGTTTGTCCGCATTAGTATTAACCACTGAATCGTGCTGCTCTGGACATTCTTTTTTGAGGCACGTTTTGTCCTTTTCAATGTATTTCTCAAAACTCAGAAGTCTTTCATCTTCATCATCAGAATCTGAAATAACAATAACTTGTTCACAACAGTTGTCCACATTATTATGATGAGCTGTGAGATATCTTTCAGTGTCTTTTACTTTTCTTTGCAGCTGGAATGAGTCTTGAGTTAAATCTGTTGGGAATTTAATAACACTAGCTTGAGCTATTAAAGATAATTTGTGGAGGTCTCTGTCTACCTGAGAGTCTGTTAAGATGTCAGACTTCGGACTGATGCCAGGAGACCGTTCTTTCTTCAAGTCAGAGGAAATCAGAGCTGTATTCTTACTCATTTCCTTTTCTCTTGATTCAAGTATGGTCATGGGCTCCTTACAGGGAGATGTCTTCTTCACCAAAGTATCGATTATTTCTGTAAATGAGACCAAATCTCTATCGTGACACTCCTGTATTTCACAACTGTTTTCACAATAAGAAAAAATATCTAATTCTTCATTCTTTAATTGCTTCTTTTTTAGTAACAAACTGTTTCGTGATTTTTGTTCTCCATTTTCATCATCCAGAGTACCGTCAAGGTCTAAAGACAGACCATGTGTGACTCTACCCCCTTTCTGAACACCTTTATCTTTTCCTGAACAGAAACTCTCTGTGTTACATACTCTCAGATTTTCCTCTAAACTGACAGCATTACTGACAACAGTACTTTTCCTGTGTTGCTTCTTTATGACATGTGACAACTTTGCACAGATTTCATCTTTTTCTGCCTTCGTTTTTGGTTTTGAGGTTTTACCAAGAACATCATCCTTTAAGGAGAAATCCTCATTTGATGTGGACACCTGTTCCAGAGCAGTGCCAGACTCAGTCAATGAATGTGTAGATATTATTATTCCCCTGTCACACTCTCCTCCTAGATCATTTCGTGAAGTACAAATCTGTGGCGTATATGAAGAGTTCTCCTTCACAGACATCTGCTTCCCTTTGCTTACTTTCACTTGACCTTGAGCTCTTTCAGTAAAGTGGCTTTTGCCATTCTGCTTTAACCATGACTCAGCTGAGAGATGGTCTTCAACATTCAAATCCTTTCCATAATTTTGCTCATGATCCCCTTCTACAGCGTTACTTGCTTTAATCAGTATATGCTCTTGCCCCTCGTATATCTCAGCTTTCACTGGTTCATTAGAAAATGCTGGGCTAGAATTTTCCAGAGAGTGGGTACCTTTTTTAGACTTCTTTCTTATTTCTTCATTTTGTTCTTTCAGAGATGCAGGTGGGGTTTTATACGTAGGAGCCAGATTCACAAAAGTGTTACCGTTACCCTGAGGCACTTTTAATGTTATGTTTCTAATGATTTGTTTTAAACAAGTTTGTAACTCATGGGTTTCCTGACTAGTCAACTGCCAACCTAGAGATAGATTTCCTCGAAGGAACAGGTTAAGCTTGTCCCAGAACCGCTTGCAAAGAGTCTGCTGACCAAGCTGATAACCTTCTTTAAGGAGACTTCTAATCAGCTGCACGCAAGCAAGCTGTACAGAGTTAGATGGCACTGAAAGCAGGGACAGTGATGCGATCGGTGCTGTTCCTTTGGCACAACTTCCAGCTGATTTCTCAGAACTCCGTACAAACGCACTAGTCGGAAGCTTGGCACATTTTACAACGGCTGCTACCCACTGCTGGGAACTAACCCACAGTAAATGCAAACATTTTTTATTTCTATGCAGTTCAATCACTGATACCAAAATTAGAAGGAAAAATTCAGTGACTTTGTCACACAGAGCATCTGTCTGGTTGAGGACGTCTTTGACTTGAGAGTAGAGATGATGAATAACTTCTACAATGTAAGCCACACCCAAATCCTTAAGATCCATCAGAGACTGAACAAAAGGTATAAACCACAGAAATGTGCTGTTATGAACACGCATGTCTTGGCCAATATCTGACTGAAGGACACTGGCCAATGTTTCCATTTCTTCATACATGTTAGGACAATAATCTGGGCAAATGGCTGATCTCCACCCTAAATCCTAAAAAAAAAAAAAAAAAAAAAATTCATGTAAATAAAAACTGTGATAGGATTAACACTAAAATTGTAAAAAAGAAAATATATCCCTCAACTTCCTTATTTTTCTTTATATGTGTTATTTCTAACATACATAAACCCCCATGAAATCAAAAATATAAGCTGAGTCATACCAAACAATATATGCATATCCATGTTTATAGCAGCATAGTCTATAACAGTCAAATCTTGAAAACAGCCTAAGTGCTCATCAACCGGTGAATGGATAAAGAAGAGGTAGGTTTTTTTTATACAATGGAGTACTACTCTTTCATAAAGAAAGATCTGCTCCAGACATTTCTAGGTAAATGGATGTGTCTTGAGTGATACTTAAGTGAAATAAATCAGACACACATGTGTGAATATCACATTAATTCTCTGGTGAAAGTATAAGTAAGGACCAAAACGTATAATAGGTATTGTGAAATAAGAAGAAAATGTTCAAATTGGGAAGGGAACAAGGGAAAAGAAGGGGGAAAGAAGGGAAAAGTAAAAAAAAAAAAAAAAAAAAAAAAAAACCCCGAACACATGGAAACAAAGCTTTTGTAAGTGAGTAAGGGTTGAAGAGGTACAAATTCTCTATGATGAATGTCATCATTATGTGTATCTAAAATGTAGCAATAAAAAATAAAATGTACCAATAGAATCTCATTGAAAAATATGTAAGCTGAATGTTGACACCAAGTTTCAAGAAAAGGCAAATTCATACCAGTTTCATGTGCTCTGGCATGCCACTTTCCCCTTATCCCATAGACCTTCCAATTTCTCAAAATGTACTTTAAAATGTTCTAAAGCTTAGGTGCTGCAGTTAGAGTTCACTTTCCCTCATGCACAATCCATCTGTTCAATCAGAAGGCCTTTATGGAACAAGTGATTCACAACAGCTACACACTATAACGTCAACTAATTATGACAAACACACAGTACCCATACAATACCATCTGAATTCTGAAAGTGCTTTTTACCTTTTTTGTCTTTTCAGGATTATAATTGTATACAATCTGGCTACAAGTCACCATATCATCCAACGATGGCTCTGGTTCTAACTTGGTCCTTAAATATTAAGAATAAACACCAATTACTGAAATGAAGAGGAAAAAAATAGAAAAAAATCCCCCTTGTTGAGTCAGTTACAACACACTTCCTCACAGAGATGATTTTAAAATTCTGACATTAACATAACTAACCTTATGGAGCTGTTCCGTATGTTCTGGATCTCTCTATTATAGCTCCCGTTGTTGATAATGGTCTGAAATGCCTCAATAGGATCAATAAGTTGACCCCAGACCTTAGATCCAAGCCGATCCAGAATTACCATGAAACAATGCAATGCTGGCCAGAAAGGATTTGCACTATCATCTGAAATACAATGTAACAATTGCTGGATTACAAAACAATTTTCAAAGAGGTCAAATATACTGAGAATTAAGCATTCTTTACCTGGTCAGTGATAAAACTGAAAGCAAAACAGCAAATAATTTAAAGTAATGCCTGGGGCTGGGGATGTGTCACTCAGTGGTAGAGTTCTTGACCTGCATGCACAAGGCCCTGGGTTTGAGTCCCAGCACAACAAAACGAAACAAATTAAAATAAAGTAATGCCAACATTTACAGAGTTTTTGTTTTGTGTGGTTTTGTGGTACTGGGAATCAAATCCACGAGTGCCCTATCATTGAGCCAGGCCAATTATGTAGTGTAGTGTTGTACTGTTATCATATTGTATTATATTGTATTATTTTATGACAGGTCTCACTAATTTGCCCAAGCCAGACGTGAACGTGCAATCCTCCTGCCTCAATCTCGCAGACCACTGGGATTACAGATGTACACCACCATGACTGGGAACAGTTTCAAAAACCGGCAAATTCTCAGAATTTCTAAGTAATACTCAAGACTTCTCTATAAAAGAATTCAAAATAGAAAACAAATTATTTAACAAGTACCAAAACAGTCTAGGTAAAAATAACTTTCATACCATTTGCCATATCTGAAACAATTTTTCCTAACGAGCTCCTCAATCCACCTGAAACTTTGTATTCTCACTCTCCAACAGACAGAAAAGTTGTAAGGGGAAAAAAGAAAAGAGAAACTTGGTATTTACAAATATAAATGAGGTGTGTGATACCAGGAAACCTGCTTCAGGATGATTATGAATTCTGTATGCCCCATAGCTAGTGTTATGGACCAAATCCCTTAGTTATAATAATGAGTCAGCAAAGACACACAAGCATCATCCATCCCATTTCTCAACATGGTGTTACTATTGCCTACTTTTCATCCAACTTTATAGGAATTCATGACACATGCTTTTACCTGCAGTCCTTCCCTCTTCTCTATCAGATATGCAATGGGAAGACATTGCCCTACTCAAAGACGTCCAATGGCAGCTTCTGTTTTTTTTGCTCTTTTTGAGACAGAGTCTTGCTATGCAGTTCAGGATGGCCTTCCTAGAACTCACTTCGTAGCCCACGCTGGGATACGGCAAATGGTGTGAAAGTCATTTTTACCTAAACTGCCTCAGCCTCCCAAATGCTGGGATTACAAGCTTGTGCCACCACACTTAGCTCCTTCAATAGCTTCTTAATGTCTCCAAGAAAACTGAAGTACTTAGTCAATAATTTATAAGAATTTTACTGTTTCTTTCTCACTTTATTTTTCATTTCCACAATCACATATGATAGCAAAAACAAACCAGTCTTTTTCTCTGTTAGCATCACCTATCAATATTCTATCCATCCTAAAAGTCCACTGTAGCTGGGCATGGAAGTACAGATCTTCCAGGGTTAGTTTGATACCATATAATGATCAGCAAAAGAAAACTGGGATCTAGTAAGAAAAATGACTACAAGTTTTAGGCCTCATTTCTTAGGCTATCTATAGCAGCACTGCCCAAGAGAATTTTTTGTGATGAGGAAAATGTTCTCTAACTGCAATGTCCAATATTGTAGCCCCAACCACATGTGACTACTGAGGCTTGAGATATTAAACTTGAAAACTTTTTTCCAGTTTAAAAGAGTGAATCTGGGATAAAAATTATAAAATGTTAATTCCTGCCAGGCATAGTGGCACGTTTGTGGTCCTAGCCCTCCTGAGGCTGCAGCAGCAGGATCACTGCGGAGTTTGAGGCCAGCCTGGACTCCATAGTGAGTTCAAGGCCAGTCTAAACTACATAGAAAGATCCCGTTTCAAAAACAAACAGAAAAAAGTTAATTCTTCTTTCCTCCACACTCTCCACTCCAATTCTTGCAATGGCACTAGCATTTCCAAGCCACATCCCCACAGTACTCAAAAGTATGTAACAAGTGAAGTGAATTACCATCTGACTGCCTCTCCATGGTGTGAAGGATTGACTGCATGAAATCATTTTGCTTGTCTGAGCCCAGCAACAGCGAGTCCATGGCTTGCTCCTCAAGAATTGTCAGCAACATGCAAATACCTGTAAGATCATTCATGTTTTCTTGAACTGATGAAATAACACTAATATTCTAATGTCCTCTCTGATTTAGTTTGGTCAAGGGGGAAAAAAAAAAAAACAGGGCAAAAAGATGAAGAAAAAACAGAATCCAGTTCCTCAAACATCTAAGTCTTGGATAATCATGCACATCTGTTTCTAAGCAATAGAATTTGAGAGTATTTTGAGGATAAAAGGAGAAAATGGTACCAACTTAGCCAACAATTTCTAAGATGACTACCACAAACTTGTATTTCATCAACTATTTATAACGCCTTCAATATTTAGATGTACCATATTTCATACACTACTACTAAAAAAAAAAAAAACTACTACAACTTACAACATGTGACCTAAAGACTTGGAATTGACAGGGTACAATTATTTTAAGTCAATATAGAACCTGTAAACAATGCTGATATCACATACTGGAAAAGAAGCATGAATGTCAAATCCTAGTTAAAGTCAACTACTGTACTGTACCGATAGTTTGTCATTCTAATATTAAATCAAAGATTACATAAAAATTTAAATAAAAGATTGATCTGACAGTGCTTGAATGCACTTCTATAGGTTTCCAGAATAAATGTTTAATGATAATATATGTAACTACTAAGTCAATTCAATGACAGAACATGAACTGGGAAGAAAGAAATCCTGTATTTGGCCGTTTGGAACAGGTCACCAAGAGATCACTTCTAGTTTGGGACACTCAGGAAGATACTAACTATAGAAATGGAGGAACAATACTCACCCAACCAATAGTTTTTGTAGTTGGCAGTATCATACATGTGTGTGGGCAGAAGAATCAGTTTACCCTTTTCAAAGACAGATGAAGTGTAAATGTCTGGACTTTCTAAAAGGCCCAACTCAATGACTTTAAAAAGGCAAGTTAAAACTTCCTGTAAGTCATAATAATCATCTCTGTCCACTTTTCCAAGGTTTCTTGCAGTCAGGATAGCCCAACGCCGAATCTAAATATATATAACATAGTATGTTCAAAAATTACATATAGCAATGACATGGATATGAAAACAGTATTCTCTATTGCTTTTAAGTTGTTTGAAACAGAATGTGTGGATCTTGATCCTAAGTTGAATTAGCCTTAATAAGCCATTTAAGAGACAATTATGTCCAATCACTTAAACAATGACAGTTAATATGGTATTAGGAAAATATTTTAGGTATGAAAATGGTATTTCTAACAGATCCTATCCTTTAGAAAGACATATTTAAATATCTTAGTTCTACAAATAATTGTAACATCCATTTTGAGGTTATTTTAACCAGTGTATGAGCTACTCAACTTTACTGACCCCTTTTTAAATGTCTGATATCACTAACACTTGACCAGCATTTTTAGATTAGCATTTGCCTGTTCTTTCCCCCTCCTTCCATCAACTTTGTGCCCCTACATTTTAATTGTGTCTCCTAGAAACAATCTGGATATTCCTCCTTTTATAGTCTAATCTGATCTTTATTGTTCAAATGACAAATTCAGCCCCTTTGCAATAAACACTAATACCTTTAATCTGTTTGTATGTTTGAGCCCTTTTTAAAATTTCTTCTAAAGAAATTTATTCTTTCTAAAAATAATTCATACCTACCTGTGCCCTTAGAATAAGAATTTAGCATGCAAACTCTCACACCTTTGGTCTCCTTGCCTACCAATCCCATTATCACATTGATATTACCTATCCAAGTTACTACTGATATATTCATATTCATTGAACTCGTTTTTTCACAAATGCATTTACACAATGCAAAGTATTTATTTAAATGAATAATTTTTAAACCTTATTTATTTATTTTTGGTACTGGGAATCGAACTCAGGACCCTGCGCTTGCCAGGCAGGCACTTGTGCCACTGAGTTATACCCCTGGCAAACTTAACTTTAAAAAAAATTCTACCACAATAGTCAACTTTACCTCTCATAAGACGATTTCTTCTCTTTGCACATCTTTATATACAAAACCCTTCCAGAACCTTTTATAAATAAGACATGGCAATTACATCTCCTATTTGAGTTTGGCTGGAGATAAAAATCCAAGTTTTAAGCTTTTCTCCCCTCAATACTCTATAAAAATATTATTCCACTGTCTTCTTGCATGCAACAGACTGCTACAAATTTTGTGTTAACCTTGCTTTTTTATCTTTGCTTACATTCTTCTTTGAAAATTTTTCAGTTTGTCCTTGATGTTCTTAAATTTCACTGTCTAGACATGGGGTTTCCCATCTCTTCTCTTTGACACTATATAACCTCTTATAATCAAGAGTCTTTTAAATTCCTGTAGATGGGTATCTAGCATGTCCCCAATCTGTTCTTATCTTGATTTCTATTTTTATCTGAGTCTTACATCTATATTAACACTAGTACTTCTACCCCCATATCTCTTAGCTTTCCTTTCCATATTTTTTATTTTTGTTTTTTCTTTCTTCTTAGGGATCTGCTCAATCTGGACTTCTGGACAAATGTCCTAGTATTTTTGCTTCTATTGACATCTATACAGGAAATTCCATTACCATGCTTTCTCTGCTGCAAAAAGAAAAAAAGGGAAGAAAACCTTTTTTTTTTTTTTTCTTACCTTAGCTTGGCAGAGAAGGTAAACCTTTCACAGCTAATAAACTGGTTTAATATCGCAACTCACCACTAAGTGCCAAAGTACATAGGAGCTACAGCACAAACTGTCTTAACACGTAGTGATTTGACCACAAACCTCAGCCATAACACCACTGTCAGCTTTTAATGATCTGGGGTTACCCTTCTGCATCTTTTCTTGCCCACTGTCCTGACTTTTATGTTCCTCTTTACTTCTAGCACCTGGGGATTTCCTGGCCTACCTGCTCACCTCTTAAATCTCATCTATGAGCAAAATAATTTTTTCAAATATTTTAACTGATATTTTCATGTTTTCAAGTGGGGCAGGCAAGTAAGAAAAGCAAAAAAGAGCCCTTCTCCTGCACTTCAGTTCAACAAACTGAAATAAAATTCATTATTCCCACACTTGTCTTTTAACCTCAAGCATCACCCATTAGCAAGTATTTTATTGCCCTCCTGGATACCCTTGTTTGACCCCACAGCACCTTCTACTTCACTGTATTAATTTTAAAATAAGAAATAAAAAAATTAGCAAATATTTTAAACAAAATACAAACCTCTACTAAAACTACATACAAAAAAACATTAGGGAAAAAAAAAGGGGCCAGGGATATAGCTGAGTGGCACAGCACCTGTCTAGCAAGCACGAGGTCATGAGTTCTATTCCTGATACCAAAAAAAAAAAAAACCAAACCCAACTACCTAGATGTACAAAAATAAATGTTCTTCTACTGCCTAACATTCATACTCACCATTTCATTGGGATGGACCAAAAACAAATAGATCCCTGGATGTTTTTCAAAAACTTGAAAGGAGCAATTGGCTTGTTCCATCCGGCAAAGCGCTTCAACACATAGCTCATCTAAACAGAAAAAAAAAAAAAAAAAAGGCAGTAAATATAGAAATCTCAGCAACTTAGCAAGATTTCCTAAATCGGGCTCTTTGGCTGTTTTGTATGTAAATGAAAAGTTCATCCTTTCTTCCTTACCTGAGACATATAGATGCTAATAATACAAATGCAAGAACAATATTTACACTGGAAAGACCTCTCAATTATGATCTCATGGTGTCTGGGAGGCATAATTTTGACTTTACTAGTATATATTTTTTTATATTTGGCATAATTACCTCTATAGTATGGTTACAGGTACAAACCCATATGCATTTTGGCCAACAAGGGTTATTATACCTGGTACAGGCCTGAGAAAAGAGTCAGCTTTTCCCCCAAGTGAGCAGCTGTCCCCTCACTTCCTGAATTACCCATTTACCCTATCACAGCAATCAACGTTAGTTTTCCACGTTTTAAAAGCCATTATGCTGGTAACACATCAGTAACATTTTATGCTAGTGGCTGGCTTTAGGGAGGAGGATAATGACTAGAAAGGAACTACTGGGATGCTGATAATGTTTCTTGATCCAGCTGATGGCTAAGTGTAAAGAATACAAAGCTTACAAAATTTTCTGGATGTATTATTCTCTAAGTGTTTTTAAAAATGCTTTGTTAGAATTTTAAAATTTACTCTGCATTTGATTTAGAAAGAAGTGATCTATTTGAACAAATCTTTTAAGTCTTAGTTTTCAGTTTACTAAAATACAGAGGATAGAGAAACAAGTTTAATATAAGAAAAAAATGTGTAAGGTATGTTTTTCTATAGGGCAGCTATATGGTCTCCTCAACTCAAATTCATGGCCAAAAAGAAAAAGAAAGTTTGTGTATGTGGTCCCTCACTAGACTCTAAATAAATCAGCCTAAAACTCCCCACATTTTTACAACTACTGAGAAAATAGGAATATGCACTAGATGTTAGATGCCTGCAAAGTATTCTTATTAAATCTGCTCAATTAGGAATAGGTCATTACTTTTAAGAGCTCCATAATAAGAAACACAAATAACCCTAACTAAGCTAGACAGCCACACTATGTCATGCCATGGTAACGAGTGAGAAGTACAGATCAGCAGTTTTCAGCCCAGGGGAGCTTGCCTGCCCACTCACCAAGGCAACATCTGAAGACATTTTTGTTGTCCTAACAGCATGGCTGGGGAAGAGGATGCTACTGGTGTAGTATGGAGACCAGAGATGCTATTTAACATCCTATAATGAATGGTCCAGTCCCTTACAACAAAGAATTTCCCAGTCCAAAATTTTCATAGTGCCAAGACTAATAACCTTGCTACAGACACATTGCAACAATGAAAACTAACTGAATGAATAGACAAAAAGATAAGTGATAGGCAACTACAGCAAAATGGTAACAATTCTAGAACCTATACGGGGGGCAGGTTCTCTCTATACTTTACTTATCTACATTTGAAAACTTTCATAATAAAATGTTATGAACAATATTAAGTACCCTAATTAGATATGCAGGAAATGTATTTTTAATATAAACACGTAAACCTCAATTCTTATCGTGTGTGTACAGGAGTGCTGGAAATCAAAGCCAGGGCCCGTGTACACTAGACATGCACTCTACCAATCAGTTACAGGCCCAGCCCCCAATTCTTAAAATAATATATCTCATGTAACTTAAGAATACCTAAGATACTCACTAACACGCTCATGTAGAAGCAGGTAAGGATATTTCAGTATTTCAAGAAGAGGAACTCGAAGCTTATTTTCAAAGTCTTGGCCACTAAAATCAAACAGTTGTGCCTCTCCATTGTTGTCTACTATGTATAATTCATCATCTTCAATTTCTCCCTTCATGGATTTTTCGAAGTGATTTATGAGACGGGAGGTTTCTAACTCCCATAAAACCTACAGGAACAGAAGAATGGGTAGTGCAATTTTTATCTTATCAGAAAAATGTGCTTGATGGGATGATCATTCTACAAAGCCAAGTACCCAAGTACTTTTCAGGGTTTTTAGTGTTCTTATTCAGAAGCTTAAAGTACCAGCCATCATACACAGACTTCCCCTCCCTCCCTTAGAAGCATTGCAAGCTTGGTTCTAGATCATAGCAATTAAGTGATTGTTACAAAAAGTGAGTCACACAAATTTTTTTTGTTTCTCGTGACATGTGAAAGCTACCTTCACATTATACAATAGGTTATTAAACAGCACCATACCTAAAAAAATAATGCCTATAAAGAAAAAGTACAAAGTTGGGCCTGGTAGCATACATCTATAATACCAGCACACGGGAGGCTGAAGCAGACAGATCACTGTGAGTTCTGAGGCCAGCCTGGGCTACACAGTGAGTCCAGGTCAGACTAAACTACACAGTGAGACCCTGCTCCCCCTCAAAAAAAAAGTGTACATTATTGCTTTAAAATGTTGATAACTGGGCCTTCAGTAAGGAGTCTTGCCTCTGGGTTGATGCCTGCCAACCAGTCAAGGGTGTAGCTGCTCGAGGACAGGATAGCTGTGGCAACTTCTTAGCCATCAAGCTCGCTGTCTGACTGACTCTTCCTCTCACAGGAGTTCCCTGAAGTTTGATGCTATCTGGTAATATTTTACTCACAAGCCTCTTTCAAAACTGGAGTCAATCATATCAAAGCCTGCTGTTGTTTTATCAACAGTCTATGTAATATTCTAGGTCCCTGTTTTCATTTCCGAATGTCCATGGCATCTTCACAAGTATATTCCATCTCAAGAAATCACTTTACTTAGCCACAAGAAGCAATCTCCATTCATTTACGTTTCATCACGAGAC